AGAAGGATGCTGCACCCCAGAGATGGAATCTTTCCCTGATGGATTTCCTTGGGTTACGGATGCACACAGCCCTTCTCCAGAGAGGCCACACAGCAGGAGCCAGGCCTGGGCCAGTCTGGGCCACTGCCCACAGCCCTGCAGGACCTACCCAGGTGCAGGACTGGAGCAGTTGCTGGGCAAGTATGTGTCAGGGACTTGGGGGTCTTCAGCCTGGGGAAGAGAAGGCTCCAGGGAGACCTCAGAGTCCCTTCCAGGGCCAAATGGGCTCCAGGCAAGCTGCAGAGGGACTCTGGACAAGTGCTTGGAGAGACAGGACAAGGGGGAACAGCTTCCCACTGCCAGAGGGCAGGATGAGATGGGATATTGGGAAGGAATTGTTCCCTGTGAGGGTAGTGGGACACTGGCACACGTTGCCCAGAGAAGCTGTGGCTGCTCCATCCCTGGGAGTGTTCCAGGCCAGGTTGGACAGGGCTTGGAGCAACCTGAGCTAGTGGGAGGTGTCCCTGCCCAGGGCAGGGCGTGGGGGTGAGATTTAACCTCCCTCTCAACCCAACCCAGTCTGGGATTTTGACTGATCCCATTGTCTCTCAATGCACAGGCTGCTGACAGCAGGTAAAGGAGCTCATCCAGCACATCTGGTACAAATTTCACCTCCAGCTGCATACCTGCTGTGCCAAACACGTGTGTGTGTGCTACAGCAGGTGGGAGAGCAATTGATGTGGTAGAAACAGCACCACCAACCCCCTGAGTGATAGGGTTTGGGACAGGACACCTGCACTGCTCTTCTCCAGGAGGCTGGTGCTAAAACACTTCTGTAAGGACAGACTGGGAGCTCTTTGCCTTCCACACAAGGACAGATTTAACCAGACAGGTTTTGGGTATGAATTTATACTACTTTTCCATTTTTAAAGATTTCGGTGTCTGTGCTTATGACAGGTAACCTTAATCAGTCAAGGCCCAGTTAAATGGCACCATTAAACCACAGGTCGCAAGCTGGTGGCATCTCACAGGAGAGAAACAGAATCAGAGAATCACAGAATTGTTATGGCTGGAAAAGCCTTCTAAGATCATTGAGTCCAAGTGTGGACTTGGTCAAAGCCACCACTAAATGTGGATGCCCAGGGGGCTCCAGTGGCTCGTGGTGTCAGAAGTCCTGCTCTCATGGCACACCTGAGAGTGCACATCTGGCACCATAAACTCACCATGACAACTGATGTCCAAGATAAACACTTGGCCAGTAACAGCAGCATAACACAAAGCAGGACACAGCACATGGACTTCATGCCTAGCCTGGGAATGTGGGTTCTCAAACCAGTTCCTGCAACACACACTAGTCTAAACCAAAACCTAAATAAAAACCACAGCTGCTCAAGCACAGCTGAAGAAGTTCTCAGGCTTTTATGCTTGATCCCAAATAATGAGGGTGAAGGACCAGACCTATCTGCCTCCCAATACTTGCAGCCACTTTAACAAGCAAGAGGCATGAGAACGGCGAGGAGCAGATGCCAGGTGGTGCAGGAGCTCTTGGCACCAGGAGATGTGCAGTTTGACTGAGAGAGTGAAAAGACTTTAATGGAGAACAAACACTAACACTTATGTGTTCCTGGTGACACTAGTTTGAGGCTGTGCTGGGACAACACCCAAACTGTCTGTCTTGTAGCCAGTGACCAGGATCCCAACCCTCTCCTGGCCTTTGCAATAACATTTCCAAGCTTTTGGGCGTAGGGTGGTCAACATCCACCTTTGATTAAATCAGGACTTGCAGATATAAAGCAGGGTGGGAGGAGAGTATTTTTATCTCTGATTATCCAAGCCCAGATCAAAGGCTCTGCAATACAGTAACACTCCAAGGGCTTTTGATAGTGAAAGGATGTTTGTCCTGTCACCATAGCGAAAGCAATGTCAAACATCCTGTCCGTGGCACGATAAGGTATCGGGATGAGGAGCGGAGACAGAGCTCTGGAGGGAGGCACTGAGAACTAGTTTGTTTAAAAGACTTGTGCAAGTTTGGCAGGGAGGAGATATTAATTATTTCTGCAGAACTTAGAGCCTGCCCCAGACTGAGGCCAAGCAGACAGCTGAAGAGCAAACATCCTGCGCACCAGGCCAGGTGCTCCATGCACGCTCCGTAGCACACACTGTGTGGGATGGAGGGCTCCAGTTCTGCCATGGCTGAAATGGGTCTGAAATGAAGCAGCATGTGTCTCCTCTGGGATACCGAGGGGCAGAGTTGATGTGGGAGCCCAAATCAATGTTCACTCACCCCATGCATGTTAGAGACTCTTCCTGTCCCAAATATGTCACTGCAAGTTGCAGTGATCACCTTTGAGTCACTTCACAAGGTGGTGGCCAGCCAGGACATCATGGCCATTGACTATGGGCATTTTCCCTTCCACACTGAACAGCCATTTCTGGATTATGGTTCTGCTCGACTGGCCTGGGCACAAGGCAGGCAAATACCTTCCTTGTAAGCCCAAACTAGTGTTCATTAGAAGCCTAAGTGAATTTTGGGTTCTTTTCACTGATTTTTGCCTTGTTGCAAACACACAGCCTCCCCAAAGACACTTAGTCACATCTTTGGGGGTTGGAATGAGCTGATCTTTAAGGTCCCTTCCAACCCAAACCAGTCTGTGATTCTGTGATCTTTACACTCTGCTTATGTTCTTCTCATGACCTGATCTGACCCAGCTGTCAATGACACAAACAGACACTAACACAAGTGAGATCACAGCAGTCTCTGCTCACCTCCTCGCTGCTGGAAATGGACTACCAAGCCCACAGACCACTGCAGGGACCAGCTGCCACCAGCTGCCAGGTGGCACAGCTTCTTGGACTGACCCAGAGAGTCATCACAGGTACAGGAGGAAGCACCCGTGGGGCAGCTCCTGCCACCCACTGCCTGTTTGGCACACATGACACCCAGTGCAGCTCCACAGCAAGCAGCAGCTGACCCCAGGGAGCACAGACAGGTGCTGGGAGCATCCACACGTGTATGACTCACCTCAGCAGCTTTCCTGTGGTCATCCTCGTTGTCCAGCATTCGCACATCCACCCCAAGGCAGCGCAGGTAGCGTCCCAGGCCTTGCAGCATGTTGTCACAGACCACACTGAACTCCCTGGGGGACATGGGAGCAGGGGGATCTGAGGGCTCCACTTTAGGTCCTTGGCATTGCTAGGGAAGGGCAAGAGATCTGTGAGCAGCAGAAGGCTGATTTCCTTACATTTGTGTTTTCCCTCCCTAAAATCACCCACAGCAGCAAACCCAGCTGTCTCCTTCCACCTGCATCACAGTTTCCTCATGCCCTGAAACACCTCTAGATACACCTTCTCATCCTTTCCATGTTGCCCACATCCACCTGGGCATGAGGCAGCACATGATGGGGCTAATGCTGCATTAGCCCTTGTCCAACTGGCCACCTGATCCAGGGACCTGCAGCCTTTCCCTGCAGAAATGCCAACCTGCCCTTCAGTGCTCCACACAGACATTCACCTTCACAAACTCACAAAAACATCTTCAAGGCTGCTGTTCCCCTACTGAATAAGTCTGCAACAAATAAACATGTGCCCAAAGCTCTGATTTGGGAAGGGGATCTGACAGACAGAGGGAGAAACAGGTAGACAAAGCAACCACGTCAGCTCTGTTATCTTTGGAAGGTTAAAAATAGGCAGAGCCTGAATTCTGTTTGGTTTATTTTGCATGTCTGCTGCTGGGAGAGTTCCTGCACTTGGAGGACTTTAGAGTTGGGAGGCTCCCAGAAGTACAATAGCTAAATTCATGAAGAAGGGAAGCTATTAAGGAACTTCCTTGGAAGTTCCAATGAAGGAACAGCTTTTGACTCCAGGAACTTGGATCAGCTGGGATGACTGAAGGACACAGCCAGCACCTATGCAGGGAGCCAGCACTGCAGACTAGCTCTGCAGGAGCTGGCTCAGGGCTGGGAATGCTGTGGCACACATGCAGCTCCACCTGGGCTGAGCATGGGAAGCAGCTCACATCCAGAAGCTCCATCAGTGTGATGCTGCACCTCCCAGGAGCTGGTCCATGCGCTCAGGGCTCTGCAGCACTGGGCAGACTGGACCATCCCCAGCTCCTGCAGGAGCTGTGCTCTGGGACATCAGAGGGCTGTGACAAGGGATCGAGCTGCCCCTCTGAGGCTGAGGCAGTTGGAAGACACCAACCCTGGCTGCTGCTGCTGTGTAAACAGATGTGCAGGAGCAGCAGCTGGCTCTCAGCTAGTGTTTATCCAGTGGCCAGCACTGTCATATGTAGCTTTTTTCTCACGTTTCATGCCAGCAGACAGCAAAAAGCTTACAAAAGAGAACAGAGTCATTAGCCCCACTTCAGATAGTAGACCAGGAAACACTGGGAGAGGCAGCTTGGAGTCCTGAAGGATGCAGAGTCAGGAGAAGTCTTGTTTGGGAGTCCCAGCCCAGGTTTTACAACTGCCTCTCGGTTAATGAATCCGACTGTACAGAACACAAAGATGACCTGTGGGTTCATGAGGTAATTCAAGCCTGAAGTGCTCACTTTTCCCATCTCTGCAGCAGCCACTCAGCTCTGCATTCCCAGGAAGAGTGCTTAGGGAACTACTGAGGAGTTCCATGTTTTACTGCCCACTGAAGACTGAGGGGATGATGTACCTTCACACACACCTGACAAGGAGGGTCCTGACTAGGTAGATACAATCAATAGCATCTCAGCCCAAACAAGGAAGGTGGCATTGACTTCAGGAATTCAACACACATTTGGGGCTCCTCAGAAGGCTACAAAGCTATAGTGAGTCTTAGCAGATAATAAGCCAAACAGAGTTTCTGCTGAGGTTTCCAAAGGTGCATTAGTTCCATTTTAAAACTTTACTACTGAGAGGGCTCAGTCATGTTCGAAGATACTTAAGCAGAGTCACATAGCTCCAAGCTGTGGCCAGTGGAGTCTGAAGGCTCTGTCACAGCACAGGCTGCAGGGGGAGGCCAGTCATGGAGTGTGGAGGTGGGCAGGAAGGCAGGGACAAGCCTTCAGCAGAAAGGTGGTTTTGATGATCATTTGCTTTTAATTTGCAGACTTCTACTCCAGACAGAACAAAGGCTGAATTCCCAATGTGAAACAGAGGTGTGGAAGCTCAGTTGAAAGCAAAAGTAAGGAATTCACAGTTTTGAAACCTCATGGATGCAACACCTTGGTCACAGAATCCAAACCCACTGAGGAAATGGTCCTTCCACACTTTCAACAGCAAGGCTCACTGGGCTCTGCACATAGAGCTGTGCCAACACTGTGCAAAGACAAATGAATCTAAAAGTGCAGGGAAAGCTGAACCCAGGCAGGAGAAAGCACATGGTAGCAGTGAGGGAGGGGTGAGGAGGATGTTTGCTGCAATAGTCCTGAGAACAGGCTGCACACTGACATGCCGTGCATAGCTAATGGTATGACTGAGAGACAGCAGTGTGTGATTTGAAGGGGTCTTGAGCAACAAGCAGCTCTTTGAAGATGTTTACAAACCTGTCCAGAAGGTGATGGTGCTTCTTGTTTATTCAGCTGCTTCTTTGCCTTGAGTTTTTTGCTCTGTTTTTCCACCAAACTCTGCATCAGGTCTGGGCTCAGACCGAAGCTCTCTGGGTCCTTACAGAGCCTCTCGTAGATCTCCAGCAAACAGTAAGCATCTGAGGCTGAAAATAAGAGAACATGAGCCTCAGCTGTGGCATTCAAAAGTAACCCAGAGGCTTTCCTGATGCAAGGAAGAGTTCCCATCTCTGTTAAAGCCACTGCGAACAACCTATGGAGCTTCAACTCACTCATGTCATACCCCATGCTCCATGACTGACTGTGAGCATCATAACTGAACACACAGGGACAAGACAGGAGCTCCAAAACTGATAGGCTCTGCTGTCTCCACTCTAAGACAATGCAAAGTGTAGTGTGGCTGTTCCAACCACCACCCGATAGCTCCAGCCAGGCCCTGTTCCTCACCAGTGTCCCAGGGCAGTGGCCTGCCCTCGGCTTCTGGCCACATCTCTGGATGGGAAGGGAACTTCCCCACTAGATGCAGTATCTCAAAAGGCATTAACTGAGCTGTTTGCAATCACCTGCCCACACGCACTGCCATGTGGCTCTGCTCCCTGCAACGGGAACTGGAGAAGTCTCCAAGCCAGTTTGACAAGTCCTAGTGATTAACTTTTGTGGGAACTGTGTCAGCTTCAAGGATAGTTGAATCTAACAAAGGGCTGGTTTGCTCCAGCAGACTGTCCTTTGATGCCCCAGGAAAAGATTCAACCCAGACTTCTGACTCTGGGGTAATCAGCAATAAACTCCACTGGTCCCTGCACAGCCCTGACTGTGCTGCAGCTTCTGACACCACATCTGCCCATGTCAAACCCAGCTCTAACAAGCCCTTCGGTGTGACAAATGAACACAGCATTTGTTTCCCAAGAAGGCTGTGAAATGAGGCAGAAGGAAGTGGACTTTCTTCCTTTCAGTTACTGAGAGGAGTTTCCACTGAGGTGATGTTTCATCAGACCAAATCTGCAAAGCACAGGAATTCCTTCATAAGGGAAATAATGAATCACTGGACAGTTTAAACTTCAACCATTAGAGCCATGTCCGCAACAGGACAAACAAAACATGTGCTGGCTCCTCTCAACAGGAACTAATCTGCAAAGCCATTTTCTTCCTTTGCTACTTAACGACTTTCCTGGTGACAGAACAGCCAAACACAGCCTGGACAGGATACCTGTAGGGTTGTGCCACAGAACAGGGTCCAGACACCTGTAGGACAGTGCCAGGGAGCAGGGACCAGACATCTGCTGCTCTGCAAGACCAAAGCAGGGACCAGAAATCTGTAGGACTGTGCCTGCTCTGGCAGGGATCAGACATCTGCAGCACTGTGGGACCAGAGAAGAGACCAGAAATCTGTAGCACTGTGCCACAGAGCAGGGACCAGACATCTGCAGCACTGTGGGACCAGAGAAGAGACCAGAAATCTGTAGCACTGTGCCACAGAGCAGGGACCAGACATCTGCAGCACTGTGGGACCAGAGAAGAGACCAGAAATCTGTAGCACTGTGCCACAGAGCAGGGACCAGACATCTGCAGCACTGTGGGACCAGAGAAGAGACCAGACATCTGTAGCACTGTGCCACAGAGCAGGGACCAGACATCTGCAGCACTGTGGGACCAGAGAAGAGACGAGACATCTGTAGCACTATGCCATGGAGCAGGGACCAGACCTGCATAGAGGATCTGCTCCTCCCGGAGAGGTCGTTTCTCCCAGTTTGACAGCTGCTCTGTTTTATCCAGAGGTTTCCCCAGCACATGCTGCACCAGGAGGCTCAGCCCCTTCCCTGGCTGCCTGACCCCACTCTCCTCGTGGCTGTGCTCTGGGGACAGTCCATCGCCCTTCCGGCTGCCCTTCCTCCAGTCACTGCAGCTCCTCTGCAGCTGAGGGAAACAAAAAGATAGGAACCACCTGGTTAGAAAACAGTCTCTACACCACCTCCTGTTCCAGCGGGTGGGGCCAGGCACAACCCTATCACATCCATCTCTTGCCTGGCACATTGAACCCCTTGTCTCAGACAAGGGCTGGGATGGCATTAGGTCTATACAGCGTGGGGTTATTTGTTTAACAAACACACTTGCTGGGGAGAAATCTGCTTCATAGCCAAGGAAGGAAAACAAGGACATTGTTGTACAGCACTGCAGCAGAGCGGCAGGGCCAGGCCTGGGGCTCCTCAGAGGTCTGCACGGTGCTCAGCCATGCTGGGGGCTGCTGGGCACCCACTCAGCAAAAGACCAACAGTGGCAGGTCAGCACCTTTCTCCTCCTAGTCCCAGTGAGAAAAGGCTTTCCTGTGCCACCCAGGGCAGGTTAAACTGAGGCAATAGCTGTTGGCAGGTATGACGGCCCCTGCAGCACTTCCCAGGTGAAGCTATCAGTCCCAAGGATCTGCTTCACCCCAACCCACAGCCTCAAACACTCTGTTCATTTTACCCATGAAAACGGTTGTGCTTAGCATTTCTGCAGCCTGCTGAAAGCTGCTGTGTGCAAACCCAGGGACAGCTGTGCTTCAGCTGACCAGGAATTCCTGTGCTGAACCCCTCAGCAGCTCTCCTCTGAACATGAGAGTTCTGTACAAATCATTAACTCCATCATATCTGCTTCAATCCTGCACAGTCTCAGGAGAGCAGAATTCCTACAAGAATTTACTCTTCCCAAGTTCAAATATAACTTATCCTGGCTGATTGGACCTGGGGCTCCTTTTCCATGGCTTTTCACAGCTTTTATAAAGGCTGTGAAAGGCTGTCAGTATAGCAAGCTTGATAGAAATGACTCTTGTGTCTTTCGTTACAGAATCCCAACACCTTCAACCCACAAGAGGAAATGTCTATTTACTCACAGCCATATCCCTGCCAGTGCAGGATACAAACACACAGTGCTGTGGACTGAGGACAGTCATCTACCAGCACACACAGGAGACACAATTCCCCACATCTCCATGTGTTCATCCTTACTTGTTTGTCCACTGTGAGTAGATCTATCACACCTCGTGCTTGCTTCTCCATGTCTTTCAGAGCAGAACATGTGCCTGCAAGGCTGCTGAGGTCTCCAGACATCCCATAACCTGGAGACAAAACCAGACCAAATCACACAGGTGGGAAAACTCAAGACATGGCTAATGCACTGCAGCTTCTTCTAGTTCAGAGTCAAAATGCTGACAAAATACAGACGAACATTGGTGGGAAGACAGTTCAGACAGGGGACAAAGCTGGCTCCTGCCTCTCCCGTTCCCTGCAAAGAGACACTCCTGCAAATCAAGGGAGAGAAGAAGTGGATGAAAAACGCCAAGTTTAAGATCAACTTACTTAAAATCTGGGAAAGGTAATTATGAATTTTCTCTTAAAATCCAGGTTTAGCAACTCCTGCCAAAGGCCTCCAAAAGCCAGGTATGGTAATTCAGAGAGCTCTGGTGTCCAGCACAGCTGCTCTGGGACAGGGACAGCACATCCACAACTGCCACACTTCCCTAAACCACTGAAGGTTAGGGTTTGGTATGCAATTAGGACCATCCCAAGTTCAAGAGTGCAAGCTAAATCTTGTCTCTGACCTAAACTAGGGAGATATAATGGCTGGAGCTGTGTCAGGGGAGGGTTAGACTGGATATCAGGAGAAGGTTCCTCCCCAGAGGTGTTTGGGCACTGAACAGCTCCCCAGGGCAGTGCTCACAGCCCCAAGGCTGACAGAGCTCCAGGAGTGTTTGGCCAATGCTCTCAGGCACAGGGAGCATTGTTGAGGTGTCCTGTGCAGGGCAGGGGTTGGACTGATGAACCTTGCGGGTCCCTTTCAGCTTGGGATATTCTAGGGTTCTAGGTTTCTATATTTCTATCCTTCCCAGTTACACTGGTTACCTGCTTCCTGGCCTGCAGTGCCTGAACACCCAGGGCTACAAAAGCTGGTCCTGTGGCAAGTGGGTTTAGAGAAGGACAACTCCAAGAGGAATGACAAAACTGCCAAACAGGCTTTGCAAAGCCCCAAGGTGGGGAGAAGAGAAATGTGCTACCTAGCTTAGTGATGGCTGCATCTGAGTAGAGCATCTGGATGAAGTGATGCAGCTTCTCCATCTCCCCCTCTGCCTCAGCTTGCTCAAGGAGCCGTGGCAGGTCCAGCAGGAACACCTGGTCCCTCAGCGCGAGCTGGAGGAGGGCGACGCGGGGCTTCCCCACCATGCCGAAGGAAGGTTTCCACTCCATGTCCACACCAACCACCTGCCCAGCCTGCAACACAGACACCTTCTGCTCTCACACCTCTGCAACAGCTGCAGCTCTTTGTGCAAACTGCTGCAGAGACAGGTGACTTCCACAGTAACTGAGGTACCTCTGCAGGGACCTGTCCTGGCACAATTTCCACATTCCCCAAATCAGACAAGCCTAAAGGAGCAGCTGTTCTTGGCTTGTGGAGGGAGACATGGGGTGGCAGTGGCCACATCCACCCCTGCATACCAACCTGCTCTGGAGTTCCTGCTCCCTGAGCCTGCAGAGTCAGCCCCAGGTGACACTCACCCTCAGCACCTTGTCCCAGCACTGCAGTGTCTCTTCCCATGTCTGCAGGAAGTGAATATTTTCCCGTGGAATAGGAAGCTGGTAATAGTCCTCTTTCTTACTGTCTCTATAATCATCTGCTTCTGTGACCTCTTCTACCCTGCACAGAATCAGATGCAACAGTTTTCAGCCATGCAATGGGAGGAAATCCTAGGTTGAAGGAACAGCAGAAAGTCTTATACCCTTATTTCAGACCGGCTCTCTCTTTCCCCATGTCACTCAGCTCTTTCTCTTTACCCTCTCTGTCCTCGCTTTCCCTGCAATCTCAATCTTTTTCATCTTAGAAACACAGAATCCCAGACTGGTTTGGGTTGGAAGGGACCATAAAGCTCAACTCATTCCACCCCCTGCCCTAGGCAGGGACACCTTCCACTAGACCAGGTTGCTCCAAGCCCTGTCCAACCTGGCCTGGAACACTCCCAGGGATGGAGCAGCCACAGCTGCTCTGGGCAACCTGTGCCAGTGTCTCACCACCCTCAGAGGGGAGAATTCTTTCCCAATATTCCATCTAACCCTGTCCTCTGGCAGTGGGAAGCCATTCCACCTTGTCCTGCCACTCCAGGCACTTGTCCAAAGTCCCTCTCCAGCCTTCCTGTAGGCCATCTCGACTCCTCTCTTTCCATTCCTTTCCCAGAAGTGTCTCTGTACCCCAGAGCTCATTACACACACTGTATCCACTGCAGAGAACACCCACACCAAATCACTTGCTGGAGTGGCTCAAGCCCCAGTGCTTAATGCTCTCTTGCCCATTGTCCTCAATGCTCAGCTCCTGCCCAGGACTCAGGTGACAAAGTTGTGCAGCTGTTTCCACACTCAGAGGTAACACATTGAGTGCTTCTTGCCTCTGAGTTAACATGGGACCCTGCTGGCTCCCAGGGTGACATCCATCAGAGAATCAGCTCCAAGCAGGAGGCTCACACTGCCACACACATGAACTGCCTCAGACAGAGCCTCAGACTGCTCCACACCACATCCCACCCGCTGGGAATGGGGCAATCTACCTCAACAGTTCACAGTGTTGGAAAGGCTTCATGGACCTCTCTGATGCCACCCAGCTTCTCCTCCTCCTCCATCCCCTTCTCTGCAAAATGGCCACACAGGGTGCACACGGACATTTGTCCAAAGTTGCACAGGGCTGAAATGCTAAAAGCTCAGAAATAAATTCTCAAACCCTTCTCTGTTTTGGGGGAGGTCGTGCTGCTCCCTCCATTTGGGTCTCTGATGGCACCACACAGAGAACTCAGTCTCTGTGTATTAATTCCCTGGGAATGCTGGAAGATGCCTGCAGAAATGAGCTAAGTGACTGCCTCCAGCAGGATCTTACACAGCACATTTTCTGTTCAAAATGCAGCAGAGTCTCTCAAGTGCCCCCAGAGCCAAGGGTCAGTGTGTTGCTGTGAAGGCTCAGTCAGCTGAGGCAGCCAGAGAAAAGAAAGTAACCCAAAAGATTCAGCTATTTTGGAGACATCACACATTTCTGGATAGTCTCTTTCCCATAGAGGCCTGAAATGGTTCATTATTTGAGAGAGTATTTACTAACCTTATGTTTGGGAGGCTCTGTGCCCAAGTCTGTGGCAGAGCAGCTCACCCTGCACAAACACTCTTCCTGTGGGTTTGTGTGCATGGGGAAGTCAATATTTGTGTAAAATATTTAATGAAGGTGTGCAGGCTCAGGTCTCCAAGAATATTCTCACCTGCAGAGCTCAGGAGCCCTGTGTGGTGTGACCAGAGGCAGATGATGTCATTTATATGCTGGTGCCACCTTGTTCCCTGCAGTGTGAACTCCCTCTCTGGGGCTTTGTTAGCTCAATAAACAAGGCAGCCAGACTGTTTTATGGGGTTCCACGGCTCTGCTGACTTTATAGCAGCTACTACAGCAGGTACTGGATGAGTAAACTGCAGCACAAAGGGGTTTATTCATCTGTCCCAACTCCTCATGCAGGGCAGAGCACATCCTCACCTGTGCCTTCCCCTCCTCCTGGCACAGCACAGGATTCCCACAGCACTGAGGTGCAGTGATGAGTTTTATCTCTCTAGATGCACAGTCTGTGGCTCAGCCACACTCTTGCAACCACCCCTTTGTGTACTGAGGGCTTAACCCTCATGCAAAAACCTCCTGGCTTCCAACTAGTGGCTGGTGTGGCTTCGGGAGGGAGGAGGAGGAGGGCAGCTCCAGCAGTGCATCAGAGCCAGGCAGACCCATGGCCTAGACAGACAAGAGTATCCTGTGCTCCAAAAAAACCCATGAACCCTCTGGAGTCACCATCCCTGGAGGTGTTTAAGAGATATCTGGATCTGGCACTGGAGGAGATGGTTTAGGGGTTACAGCAGTGGCAGGTTAAGGGTTGGACTTGATGATCTTAGCAGTCTCCTCCAACCCTTATGAGTCTGGTTCTGTGAGAAGTGGGAGAGTGTTTCAGGAGTGGTTTACACCTGTGTGGTATTTCCTGAGGTGACAATGGGGCTTGGCCAAGAGCCAGTGCAGATCTGCACCAGGAGAAAGTGCAGATCCACAAAGCCATGATCCATGAACACAAAATGTACAAGGTCATCTGTGAGACCTTCCCATCAGCATTAAAACACTCCTGCCCCAGCCTGGAGCTGCATGGGCTGTTGTGTTCCAAGGGCAGGACCAGCACTGAGCCTCACTGAGCCTCATGCAGTTGTCCTCAGCCACTGATCAAGTCTGTCCAGGTCTCTCTGTAGAGCTTCACGTCAGAACCCTCTGCAGCATGAAGCAATCTCCTGCAGCTTCTGTGTACTCAGGGTGAGTTTAAAATGCTCCTTTCATAGACAGTTCCAGACTTATGACAAGCAAATGCAGATGTACAGGACCACAATGGAATCTGAGCACACGAAGGAAGTGTTTGTGAAACTACCTCCCACAGAAAGCTTCATGGCAGATGATTTTAAGCAAATATATACTCTTTTAATTAAAAAAGGCATCAAACAAGGTATTTACCTCTCCTGGATGTGTAGGTTTTGGAGCTCCTGATACATGTCCTGAGGCAGCATGTCCATGGGCACTCCGTAGTGCTGAGCCCACTGCGCCGCTGTGCTCACGGAGCAGTAACGGAGCAGCAGCTGCACCAGGTGTCCCTGGAGGCATTGGTTCTGCCCAACTGTGCTCTGAAAGAGGAACCAGAGAGAAGGGAGACTGTCAGGGCAATTTCCAGCATGGGTGTTTCTCCCCCTCTCAGGAGCAAGCATCCTCCAGGGGCCAGGGCAGGAAGGAGCAGGAGCAGGCCACAGCAGGGAGTGGTTTTCCAGTGAGTGCTGCACTTTTGCCAGGAGATGAAGAGCACACATTTGAGCTTGGAGCCCAACAGGGTACTCATGCCCCTTGATTGTGTGTCCAGGGGATGTCACATTGCAGGTGCAGCACACAGAAACAAGATTACACCACCACCCAGGAGCAAGTCCAGGGGCCAGGGCAGGAAGGAGCAGGAGCAGGCCACAGCAGGGAGTGGTTTTCCAGTGAGTGCTGCACTTTTGCCAGGCCAGGGGGCAGGAAGGAGCAGGAGCAGGCCACAGCAGGGAGTGGTTTTCCAGTGAGTGCTGCACTTTTGCCAGGAGATGAAGAGCACACATTTGAGCTTGGAGCCCAACAGGGTACTCATGCCCCTTGATTGTGTGTCCAGGGGATGTCACATTGCAGGTGCAGCACACAGAAACAAGATTACACCACCACCACTGAGCCTGACTGATGACCTATGTGTTATAGCAGGCCACAGCAGGGAGTGGTTTTCCAGTGAGTGCTGCACTTTTGCCAGGAGATGAAGAGCACACATTTGAGCTTGGAGCCCAACAGGGTACTCATGCCCCTTGATTGTGTGTCCAGGGGATGTCACATTGCAGGTGCAGCACACAGAAACAAGATTACACCACCACCACTGAGCCTGACTGATGACCTATGTGTTATTTGCTCAGATACCAATTACATTAAGCAAAATAAGAACCAGTGACTGACCAGACAGCAAAGGTCTCTGGAATTAGGCAGGTAATTATGGAGGGGTATGAGTCTGGATTGTTTCAATCCCATTTTGTGTCTGTATAGAGACCTGAAGAGAGGCTGTGACTTGATGGTATGTGAGAGACAATAGAATTATAGAATCATAGGATGGTTTGGGTTGGAAGGACCTTAAAGCTCCTCTAGTCCACCCCCCCTGCCATGGGCAGGGACCCCTTCCACTAGCTCAGGTTGCTCCAAGCCCCATCCAACCTGGCCTGGAACACTCCCAGGGATGGAGCAGCCACAGCTTCTCTGGGCAACCTGTGCCAGTGCCTCAGCACCCTCACAGGGAAGAATTCCTCCCCAATACCCCACCTAGCCCTGCCCTCTGTCAGAAGGAAGCCATTCGCCCTTATCCTGTCCCTCTAGGCCCCTTGGATCCTCTTTAGGCACTGGAAGGGGCTCTAAGCTCTCCCTGGAGCCTTCTCTTCTCCAGGCTGAACACTCCCAGCTCTCCCAGCCTGGTTCCATGGCAGAGGTGCTCCAGCCCTTGAGGCATCTTCATAGGATGGCTTATTCTCTCTCCAAGGAAGGAGAGAGTGTAAGGTCTCCTCTGTTCTTGGAAGTACTTGAACAGATAATTAGGATTGCCAGACACCCACAGCTACAGCCCCCCTAACCTCCTGCTGTGAAAAAGAGGGACCAGGACCCTCCTTCAGCACCAGGCACAGCCCACTGTGCTGACAGACACCCTGTGCACCCAGCACGGGCCCAGCAGCACCATGGATGACACCTTGCATCAGAAATAGGTCATATGAAATGTGCTGTGAAAGTCCTACTTCATCCCCACTGATCACGGGAGGAACCTGGAGCAGTCACTCCAGCTGGGAAGAACCAGGGTTGGGAGAAGGAATTCCTTCCTTTGTGTCTGTTCAAGGCTCTCTGTGGAGGTGACAACTGGCTCATTGCTACAGCCACAGAGACAAACACTTGCTCTCAGGTGTCACCGTGTTACACCTGCAAACAGGGAGGGCAGCTTAAGATATTCCCTGCTCCCATCTGTTCCCTGGAGGAAGCCAACACGTGCATTGGCACTCTGCAGAGCCTAGGGGCACCAGCACAAGCTCACACTGCCTGTGGTTTGAGCCCAAATCCCAGCTGTAAGCCAGCATGGCTGGAGCATGGCACACTGCCCACCTGGCACGGGGCAGCAGCCACTGGCGAGGGGCAGGGCAGAGAGACCTGGTGACAGTCCCCGTGGGGATAGCTGGAGGCACCACAGCTCTGCTGCCTTGTCCACTCCCTTGGCAGGTGCAGTTGTAAGAGGAAATACAAACATAGTGATACCAACAGTCACACCAGCTCCACGGTGAACATAGCGATACCAACAGTCACACCAGCTCCACGGGGGTGGGAGCACCCCTCTCCTGCTCCCCAGCCAGCCCACATGTGTCTGCAAATATCCCAGAGCCACTGCAGCCACATCAGCAACTCACTCCTTGATTTCCTCATGGATCTGCCTTGGACGTTCATATTGTCACGAAAACTGCTAAAACAAGCTGAAACTCTGCGTGGTGGCTCAGGACCTGTAGCTCTAAGGCTAGATACCCGCTGGCACTGCCAAAAAGTGCTTTTGCTGGAGTGAAATGCTCAGATCTGCATGGAAAGTCCATTCCCGCCCTGCACACACCACTGCCTTCTCCCCTTCACAGCCCACCAGCAGTGCTCAAGGGTCTGAGCCTGCTCCCAGGGTCTGAGCTGGATCCCAGGGTCTGAGCCTGCTCCCAGGGACTGCATCACCTTGCTCACTCTCCCTGGCATGTAGGAACACCTCCCAGCTGGGTGAGAAGCTGGGGCCATGGGGCCTCATTCCTCACATTCCTTTAGTAACTAAAAGGTGAGAAGTTGTCTTCAAAGCAGACACAGAGATCAGGAAACAAATCTGTTGATGGCCCCAAGGTAAAAGGGGGGGGGGAAAGCAAGCCAAGAAGAAAACAAGAATGACACCCCCACAGAGGTGCAGGAGGGGCCAGAGGCTCAGGAGAACAGCTCGGAGGGATCCTGCACCCTGCTCATGGAATCCAGCCTGCTTCCAAAACCTGCTGCCTCAGCACCATGTTTGCACTCCTGCGACTCTGCCAAATGCCAAACCACAGTCCTACTCCTGGAGATGAGGAGGAATAGTTTTGCTGCTGTTCCCAAGGGGCTGGGGCAGAGCAGGAGCCAGGGGCAGTGGGATGGGGCCAGCAGCTCAGCACAGCTCAGGTGCAGCAGAGAAGGAGAGGGAAGGGGCAGGGCAGGAAAGGACAGGACAAGCTTTCCTGCTCATGCTTCTTGCCCTCTACATTTCCTCCTGAATTCTTCCCCTGGCCATGCCAGTCCTGACCTTTGTGCCTCTCTGCCATCTCTGCTTCCTGCGACTGACCTAAGCCAAGCCCTGCACACATGGAGAGGGGCTGAGTGACCCTCCTGCTGTGTCTGCCAAGCCACTTTCCAGAGTTCTTCCCAAAAAGAACATATTTCCTTATTAACATCATGGAGCTATTCCCTCTTCTTGCTTCCCCTGTGTCCATCCTATTATCTTCCTGCCTTTTTCCTAAAGCACAAGCTCCTTGGGGTTGGAGCTCTCTTCAGTTCACCCTGAGTCAATCCTCAATAAATCTCGCCATGGCAGTTTTATTTCTGGCAGTAATGAGGTGCAGATTTTTTTTTGTATTATTTTAATGATAACAGATTTCTTCTTTCAACCACAAAAAACAACTCTGGGAAGAAGGTTAATCTCTCCAGAGATATCCCATCTTGCATTCTGAAACAGAAAAAAGCTTTGTTTGTCTTTTCTCTGAAAAAAACCCCTAACGTTGCTCTAAAGGGGAAAGGCTTCCACCACAACAGCTCTGTGAGAGGCAAGAATGTGGAAACTTTGGCCCCAGAAGATGTGGGCACAGATGCAGGGAGCAATGTTTCAACAGGGATGACATTTCATGTGCTCTGCTGTCAGTAAAGGAACACTCCTGAGGAGGAAACTGGCACAGCTCTGATCAGCATCAGCGACACCTCCGAGCAGGAAAAGACTCTCTAGAGCATGAGGCTTGTTTACATCCCTCTCGGAATTCTAGACATATCATACATTCTTTAACCCCTAGGTGCACACAGAACCCCTGACACCACACCAACCCATGATTAAAGCTTTGCAAAGCCACGGCTGCAGATTACCTACCCGTAAATCCTGTTCTCCCCACCAAGGCCTCCCAAAGCTCACAACAACCCGAGCAGGGCAGGCTCAGGAATGTCCTGACCTTAACTCATCAGCAGTTTCTTCACTGGTACCAATAATTTTGAAAACAAATATCCAATATATCCTGTGGAAGTCACCCTAGCCAACCCCAGATTACTTTTATCCGCATGTGTTAAGCTGCATTTCAGTTGGATCCAATTCTCCCCTTTCCTTCAACATCTCTTCCCAGAGAGGGATGTTATTCACACTACTGACACTGGTTATTTGCAGAGTCAGATTTTCGTTTAACTTTTGAATGTCTTGGCCAATTTCCTCTGTTTTCAAGTGCCTCCAGAATCAACAAAAAACCCCTCCTGCTAGTGTAGAGAAAATGTCAAGGAGAGTATTTCAGAGTCAGCAACTTTAAAAGGGGATAAAGAAACCTGGACTTAGAAAGGACAAAGCCACTGTATGCAGTGGAGGGCACTGACTGCACTGCTGAATTCCCTGCAGTGCAGCAGGTACTGCACAGTGACCTGTGCTTAAAGACTCCCTGAAGATCCCACTCCGGTGCTGCCACTGCTACTTCATTGTATTTGTGCCTGAGGTTTCTGGTTTGAAGTTATCATCACTTGTACTGCATGGGGAGATGCTGCAGTGTCACACTTAGATATCACTGAAGGGAACTCCTTGAGGCGTAAGACTGGAGCTGGGACCCTCAGCACCAGCTCAGACCAGAGCCACAGCCTGTGCCCTGAGAGGAGGGGGATCCAGGCTTCTGGAGATCCTACGTAGATCATAGAATCACAGACTGGTTTAGGTGGGAAGGGACCTTAAAGCTCATCCCATTCCACCCCCTGCCATGGGCAGGGACACCTCCCACTAGCCCAGGTTGCTCCAAGCCCCATCCAACCTGGCCTGGAACACTCCCAGGGATGGAGCAGCCACAGCTGCTCTGGGCAA